ATATGGGAGCTCAACGATAATTTTGGGAGTTGAGGTCACAGGCCGGGGATTTTTTCGGATTCAGTTGACTTTTGATGATGTTAACGATTGCGTTTGGGCGAAACTCAATTGGCTTATGTTGGGGCTGAGGCTCACATGGTAAAGTCGACAAAGTAAACGCGCTAGTGGCAGAATTTGGTTGGAAGACATTTTTAAGGTGTGGCCCAGCCGCCTATGGAATTTCTAATAGGAATTACGGTTTCTTTTAGTGAGCTCAGAGTTGGGTGAGCTCTCCATAGTGACTGTTTTGTACTAGAAGTTTACAATAGCTCTATGTGGCGGCGGTGGACATATGCTTCTTCTTGATGTAGTGCTTGAGTAAGTTGTAGTGAATTAAAAAAGCTTTCTACGTTGGTTTCATCGTTGAGATGAGGGCTTAGCTCAATGTGTGAGCTAATATTCTTTCTGTACGTAACCTAACTGGTTTTTGTGAAGTCAGTTTTAATGATTGATCCAATGTTCCTGGATGTCGGAGTAGAATAAACAGGACAGGCGAGTGATCAAATGAAAGATCCGAAAGGCGTTCGGCGCTTATCAGATTCTTAGGTATGTTTTGGTAATCGCAGTCTTTTAAATCGGGTAGTTTCATTGGGTCTGTCGGCCAGTATGTTGTTGTGCCAGAAGAAACATAGTCAAGCTTATTCTTGGCCTTGATAATTGCATCATAGAGCTACTTTTCTTTTGGAGTGAAGAGACGAGATCCCCTGTGCTGATAGTGTAAGTTGCTTGCCAGTATTTAGTTATATATTTATAGATGTGGCCTTTAGGTACTTTTTAGAAATTTTTTTTATGATAGTGGTGCTTAATACGGCTTCTGATTAGAATTCCAGTCCCACCATGTGCTTTTCCATTTGGATGATTTGTTCTGTAGAATGAATATCCTTGTAGTCGAAAATTGTATCTGTTTGTAAGGTGTGTTTCTGAAAACAGCATAACGTCGATTTGATTATCAAGTAGGAATTGAGCTAAAACGAGTTTATGCTCCGAAATGCCGTTAGCGTTTCACGTTGATATCCGTAGGGAAGTCATTATTTCGATTGTTGTGAAACTAGCATTTGAATCAATAGATTTTGGTTTCGAATCAGATCTTGCATAGTTGTGCGCATAAACGACATAAATTCCGCAAGGCTATGTAGTAGGCTACATATCATAGCTTCAAAGTTGCTTTTGGGCTGCTCCGGCGATTAATGCTTCTGAGCCGTGTTCGGTTCTGGGTATGCTGATTGCTGAAATGTACTTTTTGAGGCAGGGTAGTCCTGATTGTAAAGCACTTGCGTATGTCACATTTTTGGTAGAGTTTATGGGTCCTAGTGAGGATCTGGCTGCAGTCGAGAGGAAGACTTCAGGGTTTGATTTAGAGGGTGTCAACTGTTTATTTTGGGTGTGTGTAGTAATTCCTCTCTTGTAGATGCGACTTGTCAGCTTCTTATAAACTGGACAACCTCTATAGTTAGCAGTGTGATTGCCACCGCAGTTGAAGCACTTTTTCGAGTTGTAGTCATCTTTGCTCTCTGGGCAGTGTGCGGAATCATGGCGCTCTCTGCAAACTACACATACCGGGCGCAGCTTACAGTATGACCTTGTATGGCCATATTCTTGGCAGTCCATATTCCGGGCAATGCAATCGCGTTTGTGCGGTTTCTCAAATGTAATTCTGCGGTGCAGCAAGAACTGGAGAGCGTAGTGCCACGCCTTCTCTAACGACCCCAATAGACGAAAAACTAAAATCGAAATATCTCAGGAACTATAAGAACTAGAAAAGAAGCACATATAATATTAAGATGGTAGCGTATCTTAATGAGGTACCATTGTCCGAGCTCAATACCGAGTACCGAGCTCATACGTCAAATGAGCTTTAAAAACGGCTTTCGATCTTTATATGGACGGTGAGATTTCGATAATTTTTTTTCCATCTGGAAAACCCGCCTTCAATTTTTTTTGCCAAAGAAAGACTTAATAAGGATTCGAAATGCTTATAGTTTGTGTTTATATATTATATTTATAGTCCAGTGGAATTACCAACAATGGTGCTAAAGCTAAAAGTATGTATAGCGGTGCTATCGTTGAGAGCGTGATTTATTTATTTCAATTAATTACTTAATGGGTTTTTAGAATGGTCATAGTTTAATCTTAAGTTTAATATTTGAGGTCCATTGTCATAGAACAATCAACGTTAAAGTTATAAATGAAAGGAATAGCGCTGTCACCTATAAAAAAGCGCGCATCCAGTCCATAGAAACTCTATAGTCGAGTGCCGCGACTATAAGATACCCGTCACTGTATTATACAGTTTTAAAATATTAATTTTTGTTCCACATGGTATTTAATTTTAGTAACAGCAGATGTTTGTAGATTAGAATGATATCCTAGAATGTTTCCATATCCCACCATTTCCCATTCTAACGGTAGTGTCGCAATATTCTTCATAATCTTATATGGATTCTGCATGTTTAATCTAAACTTTCTATCTCTTATAGTTTCCGAGACCTCAGCGTTCTTACATAAAGAAGTCACTATTTGTTGCTGCTTTCGGGCGTTAGAGTAGGAGCTGGCATCTCTATAATCCAAAAACCAACTATATAGTAACCGTTATCCTATGACCAGTCACTTAAAGATCCACCTTTCGCCGCACGTTGAGTGTTCGACCTCCATTAACATTTGATAGCCCCGACACTGTTGAAGGCGTTAGATTGAAGTGGTCAACAAGGTGACAAATGAAGTCCAAGAATATTGTACAATAATTGAACCATTTTGAACACTGGAAAACTTAGACTCCGTCAAAGTTGACAGGAGAACAGATTCGAGTTTATGAAATATGGTCATATCTTCATATCACATCATTGATTTTTATTCGTAAAAGCACGAAAAAAAGGTTAAAAGTATTTTTATAGAATCAAGGCTCAAAATTAAATATTGCATGACGGACCAAAATTTTAAAGCTAATTATTCTTAATACTACTGCGTTTACAGAGAACTCAGAAAAAATATTCCAAGTATTGATCAAACCGGATGACGAGTTACATTAACAAATAGTTACGAGAATATAGGAATATCTCAAGAAGTAAAAGTATTATTGACTCTGGCCCGTATACACTTGTTTCATAAAATCAATCTAAGTCGTATAAAGTTTTATGAATTGTCCACTCTTTGGACTTTGCTTTGATACCATCGTATAGGTCGCGAGGAACATCTGGCCCTTTAAAGCGTGCCATACACAACTGTGGCTGACCATATTTTAAGCTGTTATATTTATATCCGTTACTCGTAGAGTAAAAGTATGTAACAGGTAGAAAGAAGCCTTTCCGACCCTATAAAGTGTATATATTCTTGATCAGGATCCATACCCGAGTCGATTCTTTCCGTATGAACGCTGAAATCGGAACATTATTTCGCTATTTATAAAGTAATGTGGGTTATAAGCGTTTCTTCTTTTTTTTTTAATATTCGTCAACTATATATCCTAAATACGTCAAGATCTTTGCAACTTTAGAAGCTAAAATTAAGCTTGAATGTGCTTCGTCTGCTTTTTTCAACCCTACGATGATTATAAAAGTCACTTACCACAAAATTAGTTGAGTGAATTTGAATGCGAAGCCGATTTAGTTTGTTTCAGTGCGCTTACATACACCACAGTCGTACAAGATTGAAACTAAGAAACACAAAGTGATAACGTTTGAGTGCGAAGGAATGAGTGTTTTAATTGAACATAACAAATATATTTTATTGGAATTATTGCTAAGTTTATATTATTAGAGTTTGGTCATTTCATGGGGACTTCAAAATTAAATTATGTTCTAATAATATGAACTAAGCAATAATTGGAATAAAACATATTTGTTATGTTCCGTTTTACCAGGACAACGATACGATGCATTCAGCAGGCATTGTCAAGCTTTAGTAGAAAACGAGCAGACGTTTTCTATGGAAAGAATCACAGTCCCTTTAAAAACCAATAGGAAATTTATTTCTTGGACGGGAACTCGTCTATCGACCGCCCAGAAGGCGAAGGAAACGTACCAAACAGAAAATGTGATTTTCAACATGTTTTTTATTTTTATATTAAAGAATTTAGTTCCAACATATACATGTTAATATTCCTATTTAACGTATTGCGCTTATTTTTATCTTTAGCCACAATAAGAAATTGTTTTCTTATTTCCCAACCGCAAAAAATAAGTTGCGACTCACTGTCTAGTGGAGTGAAGTGGTGATATGTAAAAGGCAAAAACACAGTTTTTCATTTTTTGCTTACTTAATCGGAGCATACCACTGTTTCTACCTCTTAACCAGTCAACCAGTCTGCAAAAAAAAAAAAATTATTAGGTACACAATATTCAAAATATCTCCAGTTGATAATAATTTTTTCAGCACTTATTTTTTCATCATTCATTGACAGAGACGAAAAATAACATCATCATATTTGGGGAAAATAATTTACAATAAAAATATATAGATAAATTTAGTAATGAAACAAATAACAAACTAAGAAACCTTTATATTTTTATTATTTAACAGAGAAAGCTATCACATTTTTTATGTTGTTAACAGAGAATAGGTATTTCTTAGTCGCAGCAGCAGATTATGCGACTTTACTTCTGGTGTAAAATCAGTAAGATATTGATCAAATAACATACATACATACATGTATATAATAAAAAAAAGTTGATTGAAAATGGCGAGCTAACAAACATTTATATATATGCTTCTATTTGTTTTTAATAATACAGGGATACATATTTTTTAACTTACATTTTGTTCCAGGATTTTGTAAATCGGTTCCATATCCGGCACGTTCTGTTCATAATAAAGAAAAATGAGTTGACGATTTAACCGATAAATTGTTATATACATACTATTCAGATGCTGTTGATGCACTCAAGATACCTAAAATTTTAAAATTTTTCCCCAGGCCCACAGTTTAACACAAAAATAAATAAAATATATTATAGGTAATATTAAAATAGGTTATGCAATTTGAAGTGTAATGTATTTCATTTTCAAATGCAATACATCGTAATGTATGAATTTAATATTCACATTAGACGGCTTCCTGCACTGGGGGCTCATAACCCTCGGGTCGGTCTATAACGGCTCCCTCGGTAGAAACAACGGCATCGGTCGATTTACCGCCACCGTCACCGTGCAACTCCAATAGCTTTGAGACATCGAAACGTGGCTTTTTCAAAACTTTGACTTTACGAATGTAAACATCATGCAGCGGGTATATACGCTGACAACTTTTTTCAATATCTTTGGCGATTGAATCCAATGCCAGTTTGTTAACAAGTTGCTTCAGGTCGGCGCCACTGACTTCGTTAGTAATAATGTCGGTCATGCGAGCGCGAATCTTACGGACTTGCGACTGTTGAGCATAGCATGTTTTTCGTTGGGACTGCTGATCCTTGGCAGTAAATCCGATGCAAAACACTCGCAAAAGATATCCGTCTACAGTTTTAGCTTCCACAATAGCTTCAATAAGTGTTTGCCACTTTTTAACCATTGACCTATAAAATATATTAATATTTAAATAACATAAAATGTTAACCTACATATATATAAAAAAATATTTTGCCATGGTTTGCACCTTCTACTAACCTGTACTTGTCCGTGGTTAGATCCATACCGTGGAAGTTACAGAGAACATTTCGGTCTTGAACATCTTCCGCAATAAGACGGAACTTACGGAAAGAACGCTCTGGATCAATATCCTTTTGCAAATCTGCCAGAGAAACTTCAAAAACGCGACCCTTCAAATAGTCCGAAGCTATTCTTTGGCCCTGGGTGCGGTTGACAAGCGTTTTACCGATCTGACGAGTTTGGAACATATTTGGGGCTTTCACATCGTACCAGTCTTTTCGAGAAAATGGGTCCACCACCTTCTTTTTACCGCCCTTCTTGCCACCTTTGGAAAGACCTTTATTTTTGCCGACTGCCATGTTGAAAGAATAAACCGGAAAAGGTCGAGTCACGTTGACTGTAGATGTCAAGAGAAGGAAATTAGTGTTGGGTAACTCCAAAAGTACCATTCGATTGCTTAAGACCCTTATGCACTTTGATAAGCTATTTATATTATACCACATCTCCACACCTTATGTAAGCTAACCAACAAAACAGTTTGGAATATTTTTCATATTTAAGCACATGCCATCCAGTACTGCTTTGAGTAAATAAATCAAAAAAACACTTCTGCTTAATTTCTATTTAACAAACTCAAATAAAAGTAATGTACATTTTTTATTTATATCTAAAGAATAAAGGATTGCCGACAGTGAGAACATAAGTATTTTATACCACGTTCTTAATGTTAAAACATATTCTTTTTATCGACCGAGCTAAGGTGAGGTAATTACATTTCCTGAAGGTTAAGTTCTTAAAACCGTGGCAAAACTGCGACATTTACCCGCTGACCAAGGAATTATACATAATATGTGTTGTAACTACTACGCAGGTAATAAATAAATTTTTGTTGGTTAATATATGTTTAAATGTAACCTTTCTCTGTCTGTCACGAGGTTTTTTATCGGAATAAGCGATATGCTAACTTAGATATGTCATATACTCCAGTTTGAAGTACATTTTAATTACACTGCACACATGTGTATACAATTTTGACATTTATCTACAAACAGCAACTATACACATCTGTGTATAGCAGCAGCAGCTTTGCACTTAGTGAAATTTTGATTAGAGGTTAGCTCCAAATGTAGTAACAATGATTTCCACGCAAATCCTTGACTCAATCCAATGTAAAAAAAAAAACAAAGCTATAGCGCAAACCTCTATTGCTAAAATAAAATACCAAAATTAATCGATGATTCGATATAACTATCGACGTTTTAAGATATTCAACTTGTACCTATCTGACTATAATAATACTAAACGAGTACTAAAAATCATCCGTGTAATCGTCGTTGTTTCAGCTCTAAATGCTCTTTGAAAAAATTTGATCAACGCGGACGGGTTTACGGTTCTTTAAGCGTTTAAATTGTATATTATTTAAGTGGTAACGTGTCTGTTTGGAAAAAAATTGTTACGAGCCTGTTTCCAAGTACAAAAGGTGCAATTAAATCATATCGCCCGTTGTGGTTACGACAATTCGTGCTTTGATTAATAAATATTTTTACGTATAAACTTGCTCCGTTTGTATAAGTGTATGTATGAAAATGACAAAGAAATGTATTCATGTTTATTGGTATTCGTATCCTAGCAGACGTAAGTGTGATCAAAGCTGCGTTCGTTACTCGTTGGTTTGGTAGTCCAAAGAATGAAAATTCGTGCAGATCTTCATAAAAATATATGTATGTACATATGTTCATGTACATACCGAAAATAATAAGTTTAATTCATTAAAGTGTGCATGCCTTTAAATGTGAAACCGCGCTCAATGGATATTTCCCTCTCACTTAACAGTGCGTTGAAAATAAATACAACAGTTTCGGAAAATTCCTTGCTATTTACAGATGCCGACGGCTTGTTAATTATTGTCTAGTAAAATAAAAAATACAAAGTCTTATTTTATTTAAAATAAAAAGTGTAATTTAACTGTTCAAACCTATCGGATTAAAAAAAATATATCATAGTAAGTATCTAGATTATTATTATTAATAATTTTTATTAAATGTCATATGTCGCACTTGTTAACTTAATTCGTTCTTGAAGTTTATATTTTAAATGCAATAAAAATCAGTTTACATCCTATGGATGGGTTGAAATAGATATGTATAATCGGATAAACGTGCATATGTACATATGTAGATATATACATACGTAAAATTCTATACGTATGTGTAAGAGTGAGATGCGATCCTCTGTTTCGTATCTAGAGAGCCGACACTACTCACACAATAATACCACGCACACACATTGATGTTTGTTTATTTATTTGCTGAAAATACACTTTTCTGTATTCTCTTGTCCGCATATATTTTTTGTTTAGTCCGTCGTTTTCGTCTCTACCTGTTGATATGCCACAATCTTGTCTCTAAATAGAAACTCGTTGTGTCATTAGTCTTGAAGCCATGCGTATTATGTTTTTGTTTTTGTATCTGATGCTGGCATCGTTGGTAAGGTTACCTGTAACTAGTATGTACATTAATAAACTATTTCCGTCTTCAGTTACTACCAATCTTTTTAAAAATCTTAGTTATAGATATCAGATTGGGATCTAAGATCTGTCACGTAGCAGATAGGTATATATGTAGTTAAATAGCTTATGCCAAAATTTGTCAAATATCTATTTATATTCGTTAAAAAGTATGGAACTGGTATTCCTTCTACCTGTCTATTTTGTATAATAATATACATAATTAGTATCCATAGCCGAGAAAATTACGCCATTTTCGACCTCTGTACGTATGAATGCTGGGATCTCAGGAACTGTAAGAGAGACAGTTGAGATTAAGCATGCATAATGCAAAATCCTAGCGCTTACGCCCACCGCGAAAAGCAGTGCCCTGAAATCCCGGGAACTATACGAGAGACGGCATTAAACAGACACATTCCATGATGCCATCGTAGCATCGAACTCTAACATGGAAAACACGCTAAGATCTCGGGAAGAATGTAAATCGGATCATATTTTAAAATTGCATTGTGTTGTATTGTCACCGTCAGTTATAAAAAGAGATTTTCTAGCAATTCTGTCTGATTTTTCTGTCCTTTTAAAATGGTTCACTGCTTCTATTCCTGCTTGGAAAATTATTCTTTAAAAAATTGAACAACAGTGTAATACAGTGTTTCTCTTTATTAGCTTTGTTTTCTCTAAAACGGTCAAAAAGTTGGTCGAATTATAATTCTAGTATTGGTCCAAGTTTCTTTTTTTTTCCCAGACTTACAAATCTCTTACGAATAAAACATTTTATTTAAAAACTTCTTAAACAACTGATTGAAAATGTATAATAGTGATTTGTTGATTTTTATAGTAAAAGAAAAAGATAATCGAGATTTTAATTTAAAGATAAAAAAAGGTTAAGGTCCTAACGCAGCGCAAGTTTATTTCACCATCCTGCCATGCCCACTCTAACGTCAACATATCACGAAGAACTAAAACCGCTGAAATCTCAGAAACTATTACAGCTAGAAAGTTGAGATTGAGTAGGTATAATTTTGAGATGCCATCGCATTGCGCCAACCAATCTCGAAAGCTGGTTTCCCCTTTTTGTAGAAAAGATGATACCTCGGTAAATATAAAAGCTAGAAAATTAGGCTTAACAATGCCATCCGGCCACGCCCACAAAAAACTGTCGTGCGTAATATTATAATGAGAATTTTCTTTTGACCTCACATAACATTTTTTTGTCAATATCTATCAATTTACCATAGATTTTTAAAATTTTAAAATTTTAATTTTAAATTAAATTGGTATTTATAAAGAAATGTAGGTTAAAAGGCCTCACATGGATAGTGACGTCACCATCAGTTAGTAAACATATTTTTTTTTTGACAAAAGGTCGCGGCACTCGAATTAATTTTTTAAATCGATTAAATATTTAAAGTTTAGACAATACAAATTATTTAACAAGAACAGAAAATGGACTGAACCCTGGCTTATTAGACACCAAGGAAAAATGGAGCAATGGTAATTCATTTACATCCGAGTAAGAATGATAAAAAGCCACATAGCCTTTGTTAGATAAAAACAAGAAGAAACGATATAATCGAGTGCCGCGACTATGAGATACCCGTAACGGTTTTATATAATTTTGACTGCATCACTTAGTTACCAGAAATTGACGCAACGACACATAATAACTGCAGCGACATTAATAACTGATGGCAACTTACATAGTTTGTCATAGATCTTATCATAAAAATAATAAATTACGTAACAATGTTCTGTACTAAAAAAATATGTTATACAGGGTTTAACCTTGAGCTGCGGTAATATCTCTATAATATATATGCTTAATCGCAACTTTCTATGCTTTCTTGGTTACAAAGAGTCAGAGTGGGCGTAGCCAGATATTGAAAAAATAATACACTTTGGTAGCATTATTTAAAAATACACACTTAGCCCCAACTTTTTATCACTTATAGTTACCGAGATCTCAGCATACCTACAAGAAACGCAAACCGTTTTGACGGGCGTTGACGGAACTACCTTAAGATGCGCTGCCATTTTAAGATTATGCATACTTTCTAGCTATTATAGTTCCCAAAAATCTCAGCGAATTTTAATTTTTCTTGATTTGTGGCGTTAGAGTGGGTGTAGCAGGATGCTGAAATAAACTTGCTGCATAAGCACCTCAAGAATCTGCATGCTTAATCTCAACTGTATGTCTATTATAGTTCCTGAGATACCATCATACGGACAAACAGACATGGCTTCATCGATTGATCCTGATCAATAATGTATATCATTTATAGGGTCGGAAACGCTTCCTTCTACCTGTTACATACTTTTTAACGAATACAATATATCTTTTTACTCTACGAGTAACCCGTATAAATATGTCTTAAAGCGATTTTATTAACATTACGTATTTATTGATTTCTTGGAATCCTCTTTGATTTTGTTTCAGATACGCTCATACAAAATATGTATGTTTTGAAAATAAGCTACACTAAAATGAAGTGCTCTACAGTGAGGAAAGTTATTCGAATCTACGCCATTTTTTCAGTTGACACAATTTAGACCAAATCAACCCAAACGCCAAAAATCGGAAAAGAATAAAACATGCCTCATACACACGGCAGGCATGGATCATCTGGAGATGATTTATGCAGTACTGATGAAGTAAAAATATTTAAAGACGAAGGTGACCGCGAGGATGAAAAAATATCATCTGAGAACTTATTAGTTGAAGAAAAGTCGAGCTTAATTGATTTAACTGAAAGTGAGGTAATTAAAATGATTAAGAAATAATTAAAACCCAAAATTATTCCTTAAATGTATTTGGTATAAATATGTTGGTATACTATTTTAGTTATACTCATTTTCATCAAAGGATCATAGTAAATTATTTACAAAATTATAAAA